GGCAGACCAATAACTAAAACATGTTTGGACAGTTTTTCAATCAAATGCATGCTAGCATGGCCAAGTCTTCTATGCCATAACCATGGATCATCAAACATAGAGGATAAGCAAATGTGGCCATCTATCTTTTCAAATCCATCAAGTATATAAACATTTCCATACCTTTTTCCAGGAAGAATTATCTTACCTGGTTCGTCTTCAGTAGCACACCCTGTTCTTTTAAACTTTACCTCATATCCTAAGTCGCAGAGTTGACTTATGCTCAAGAGATTGTAGTTTAGGCCATCAACGAGATATACTTCAGTAATGTCACAGTTGTTATTGAAAGGAATTGTTCCAGTGCCAACTATTTTGCCCCTTGAATCGTCTCTGAATTTTACACTTCCTCCATCGATCTTTGTAACTTCCTTGAACAGGTTTTTGTCACATGTCATATGACTGGAACACGCACTATCTAGATACCATTTTCCTTTGCGGCTTACTCTGTGGTGTTCCCGCAAGACAAGATGATCACTTTCTTTTAGGTACCCAAGCTTGCTTGGGTCCTGGTGGGTTAGTGTTACTAGGTTCAGAATTTTTTTGTTTCCAAACCCATCCTGACACATTTGATTTACGAAAGTGACAACCAGAATATTTATGCCCACTTTTATTACAGTAATGACATTTAGCTCCAGACCTATTTATAGGTCTTTCATAAGTGTTAGAACTAGCCGACTTAGATTTAGCCTGTCCCAGTTGACTTGTAAGTCATCTGGTCCGACCGACTGGTCGACTTGGTTCTGATTGGTTCTTTTCCAGTTGACTTGTAAGTCGTCTGGTTTGACCTAACAGAACTATGACTGGTGGATTTGCGCAAGCTATTAAGCTGCAGTTGCAACTCCTCAAACTCTTCTTGAAGTACCTCTTTTTCGATTTCACATACTTCATGTTTGAGTTTCCAGTCTTTAACCTCCCTAGTGAGTCTCTTAAGTTCATTCATCATTTTTTGGGACTCTTTTAAGGTTGAATCAAGAATATCCTGCAATTCATTACATCTTTCGCAGTCATAAGATCTTACCTCACTAGTTTCACCCCGTGCCATGAAACAGTTCTCGTCATCTGAATCATCTTCATCTGTCCAGCATCCTGAGATTTTGTTTATTTTATTTTCCAGAATTGTCATGAAACAAAGATTTGCTATTTCTTCGTGGTCTGAGTCATCCTCATCGCTCCAGCTTCCGAAGGATTTGTTCTTGTTGAAGCCTCTAGAGATCTTCCTTTTCAGTTCTGGGCATTCAGCTTGAATGTGCCCAAATTTTCCACATTCGTAGCATTTTCCATCGTTCTTATCCTGTTCATTGTATTGCCTGGATCGTCTTGGTGGGAATCTTCCTTTCTTTGTATTTCTGTATCTCCTCATCAATCCATCCATATTTCTAGACATCATAGCAATCTCTTCTTGTAGAGCTTCAGGATCATCAATTTCATTTTCAGCCATTTCAGTAGAGGTTTTGAATGCAACTATTTGCTTTTTCTCCTCTTGATTTGTCTTTTTTAAATGCGTCCTTTCGAAAGCAATGAGTTCTCCTCGCAGTTCATCATAGGACAATTTTTTTAGGTCTTGGGATTCTAGAGTGACTACTTTGGTCTGCCAAGTAGTTGGCAGACTTCTGAGAATTTTTCTGACTTGATCACCACTGGTGTAGGGCTTGCCAAATGCCTTTAAGTCACTAATTATCTTACTAAACCTGGCAAACATTTCTTCAATGGGTTCTCCTTCTTTCATTGAGAAGAGTTCGTAGTCATGAACTAGCATGTTGATTGAGTTTCCTTTACTTTGGTGGTTCCCTCATAGGTGACCTCAAGTTTATCCACATCTCTTTGGTTGTATCACAACTCGATATTTTCTCGTATTCCTCACCACTTATAGCATTGTGAAGCAGATTTCTTGCCTTGTTATTCGCTTGTACGGCTTCCAGTTGCTCCTTTGAGTAAGTGGTGGAGTGCTAGCAGGTAGGGGATAGTTTTCCTTTTTAATGACTCTCCGGACTTTGACATCGTATGCTTTAGCAAAGATTTTCATTCGTACTTTTCAGTGAGAGAAATTTTGTCCATTAAAGTATGGTGGTCTAACATGTGAAGTTCCTTCCTGAAAGAGGGCTCCTATGATAACTTGATTTGCCATGATCTTTTCTCACAAGCTGTTAAGCAAAAGGTAAAATGTGAGCCAAGCTCTGATACCAATTGAAAGTACAAGGAGGGGGGGTGAATTGTAAATACTTCAAATTAATTACTTATAAGTTGACTTAAAACTTGAGTAGTCGGCTGAATATGATAATTTAGCAGATATGGTAACGGAAAGTAAAATGCAGAGAATAATTGCAGGAATTAAAAACACCGAAATTTTATACTGGTTCGGATTCAATGTGAATCCTAATCTAGTCCCCTTGGGTTGCAAGGGAGTTCTCTTCAGTAAATGAGTTTCTTCCGAGTACAGATGTGGTGTATATCGCTCAGTTTCTCTAGCACTCGTTTTTTATACAATGCATCACCAGTTGTGTGCTCTCTTTCTATCCCTGACTTATTACACAGCAGATCTTAGTGAACTACAATGCTTGTTTGTAGTAGAATAAAGAGAGTGATTTGGTTTGATCAAAGTATATCTAAGCTAGGGTTTACAAGGGTGTATAAATACTTTGATGGATGGTAGAGGCTTGACAACCCAAGAGATTTGATCCTTGGAAAGAATTGATTCTTTCCAAGAATAAGGAATGAGCCGTTGCTTCTCTTGATTGCTTTCCTTTAGCAAAGGATTGCTTCACTTGATTTCTCCTTGATTGTTGGATCTTCCAAATGTGGTCGCTTCCCAGATCTCCTCGTATCCTTTAGTCTTCCGTGATTCTGCCCATGATTCGTGCCTTTGACCAAGGCTCATTTGATTTTTTCCAGCTCAGCTAATCATTGTTATTGCTAATTGATTCGTTGATTAGATTGTGCTCAGATTTACGACATCAATCCAGATTTGCTGATCACATGCTGATTGATTTCTTTCCTTGTTCATCATGAACCATTCGAGCGGTCTTCTTTACTTCTTGAACTTGATTTCCTGCACATGTATATTATTTGCATCATTAAAACATGATCTAACAAGTGGATCAGACCATGAGGCTTCATCAACTCATGAGGGTAGTGAATCAAATCATAAGGCTGATGGAGGAGATGGCACTAAGGATGGTGGTAGAGAAGACACTAATTAAGGATGGTGAAAGAAGGCCTAAAATTATTTTTCAAAGCAAGTACCACCTAGGATTTCGCTTCAACTTATATGTTGGGCAAGTTCTAGACTCAACTACAAAAATATACGCTATACAAAAACTTAATCATACATGACACATGACTCACTAAGGACGGACATATTCCAATTCTTAAATCGACGAAAGTATTCACGGGGCCAAGAAATATTAAGCATAAAGCTCAAAGTGAATACAAGTCAAGAAAATGAGCCATAAGCATCACAAAAATATGATATCTCATTCATAACGGCGTCGTCAAAATATTTAAGACATAGGAAAGGTAATACACATGCCAAAACCTAAAGATGCTGCTATCAAACAAGTCAAACGCCCTTAAGAATCAAATCATTCTTCATCCTTCATTTCCTAAATCCTAATCTGCTCTAAAATAAAAATTTGCCCGGGTTCAAGTTACATTCTATTGAAAAAAAATCAAGGCACAAAGAAAAATCATGGGAAACTATTATTACCTAAAGAAAAAAAAAAGATATATTTTTGTATTTTTCCTTCTTTTTTTTAAAAAAAAAGTTTTTGTATTTTTATTTAGACTTTAATTTCTTAAGGAAATTGTCTAGGAGATTCATCGTTAGTAAATGTCTGATCTTTTCTTTTTTGATTATGTTTTTTTTATTGTTTTATTTTTCAATTTAAAGTTTTAACTACTAGCTAGAAGCTACTAAAACCACTGAAAAAAAATACTATACTAACAGTTCTACTAAATTATAAAAGTAAAAATAAGAAGTCACAAGACAAAACAAGAAGTTAATATTATCACTAACATACTACTACTATTAATTATCCAAAGAAATTTCTATCCCACATTTAAAATTGTGCAACCTCCCCAATGCACAATTAAAACTGAAAACAGAGAGTGAAAAAATACATTTTCACCTAATTGTGGTTGTGAAACATATGTATATGACAGTAATATATGTGATAATTTCAATAGCACAATTGGTTACTTAGTCTTTTTACCAGTATCAATTTGGCTCGAGGTACATTGAAAATTAGAAGATGAGCTTCTAATTGAAAAAGCCTACATATCTATCAATTCCTTGGAACTTAATAGCTCCTAGTGCTTATTTCCAAATGCAAATTGATGAAGGAAAAATATATAACAATGTTAACAAAGCCCACAACCTTAAAAATGATTAAATTGTTGCAACATTAAAGTAAAGTTTGTCAATATGGATTCAGAAGAGTTCTTTTTAAGGTGAGACAGATTTGTATTTTACGTAGATTAGACAGTAAATGTGTTACTCCCTCCGGTCCACTTTATTTGATTTTTTGGTCTTTTTTTGTGTGGTCCATAATATTTGATTTTCTCACATATCAACAAAAAATTAACTTCTTTTTTTCACAGTTACCCTTGGAGTAAAGAGAAGAGTATTTGTTATATTTTCAATGAACAAATTAATGTTAATATGGTCAATTTTATTGCTAATTAATGCTAGTTAATATGAACAAAATCTGTTTTTTTTTTGTAGCCAGTGAGAATTGAGAACCTATGACCTTATGAAGGTTTTGAAACCCCTTGACCACTAAACTACACTTTTGGGTTGTGTTAAGGGGTTTCAAAACTTAACATATAGAGGTGAAAAACAGATTTTGCCTTATATACACAATGTAATTTTTCGCCCCCTAGATCCGCCCCTACTTATATCTTGTGTTTAATACATCCATTGATTATTAATCACAGTGCAAAAAATAGCAACTGTCAAGAGGCCAACAAATTTTCGTTACTTCTTTATTAGTTCAGAAACACATGCAATTTGGTATCATTTTATGTGCGTAAGAAGAAAAAGAGTTATTGTTTTAACATTATTAGCAAATAAAATGATCTACGTTTTTAAAGCACAAGTATTAGTGGCTGTTTCCTTTTTGATCCAAAATAAGGAATAAAAAAAAAAGTGTTTCCTTTTGACACAATAGAAAATGCTTCTTTCGTATAATCCACATGCTTGTTGGAAGAATGTTATTTAATCTAAAATTAGATTTATAGGCAAAATTAATTAATTTTGTATTTCAAGGCCACAAACAATCGATTTGATTCACTTTCTCGAATATAAGCAGGGGAATTGAATAATAATAGTAAAAAAGAGAGTAAATATTAAGATTAGATGTAAAGAAGAATTCGTATTGATTCTGCTTCTCCTAGTAGATCTTGTTCTTGCTTGGTAACAATTCAGTAGATTAATAGAGAGATTTCATGAGTTGAAGTAGTGGTTTAAACAATAAAAAATTTCATAATTTCCCTTTGCTATCTCGTTTGCCCGTTACCCCCATTATTTGTTATTTCTGCACGTTATGCTTAAAGTATTTATAATGCTCCGTAATTAATGCTGAATCCCTTCTTATTCGGGATTTTTCTCTTCTATCTGTTCATATGAGAGCTTTTCTCGGGTTGACTCCCTAGTAGAGCCGATATCAACGATCTCAGTATAAACAATCTTGGCTCAATTGGTCTCGAATTTATTCTTTAAACACTCTTGGTCGACCAATTATTTCCATACATGTAATTTGGCACCAATGTTTTAAAAGGCGGGGGCGTGAGGCGAGGCGTTTTATCTCTGACGAGGCGAAGCGTAAGCTCTGAGACATGGGGCGTAAGTCCCACGGATCTTTAAATTTTACTAATTTCAAGAATTTATAAAATAAAAATAATTATAAAAATTACATTAAAATCACAAAATTATACAAATAATATATTTAAAATATTAATAAATTATAATTCAACTATGAATAATATGAACAGTATGACATATATCATAATATGCAAATAGTTGCAATGTCGTTACAACTCAAACATCAAAAGTAATGTATTCCATACGAAATCTTATATGTATCGCTTAAGGAGTAATGAATCTTGAAAGAATTTCGATATTATAATTTGATATTTTTCTTAAGATACTCCTTTTATTTAATATGCTTTCTATTGGAAAGAGAATTTATATAAAAACATAATTCACAATTTAAATATGATTCTCAAGCATCATTCATTTTTAAGTTTCAACAAGTTAATAAAGTGACACATAATTCACCATACAATACCATGATAACTAATTATTTGTACAAGTTACTAGCTAATAGTGAGCTATTAAATTAATAAGTATTGTATCTCGTAAACGTGAAAAAAATTTAGAAAAATAATGATAAAAAAATTATGGACTATTATATAGTAAAGACATAACAATAGTTAAAAAATAAATACTTTTCAAATGAAAGATTTATTTAAAATTAACTATCATAGAAGTATTAGTGGATAACGTGCAATAATTTTTATTTTAATTATGACAATACTCCCAACTTAATAATTTATACTTAGGAAAAAAGTAATTTTGAGTAGTCAACGATTTATTAAGAAAATTTGTAGATTTACAAGGTTAGTTACATACAATTGCATAAAGTTCTATTAGGCGAGCCCAGTACGCTGGGCGTTGGGCGTGTCCGGGGCGTAAGCCCCGATGGCCGAGGCGTAAGTCTCACGGAACTAAGCCCCACACATAAGCCCAGGGGCGTTTTA